TCGGGATGGGGGGGAGGGAGGAGTTGGGGAAATGGGTGGGGGGAAGGGATGGTAGGGAAAAAATAAAGGAGGGGGTAACAATGCTCCATAGAAAATGTACTAATTACCTTACTCATGTAACTGTAACCCATCTGCGCAGTATCTTTACAATAAAAAATATATATGAAAAAAGAAAAAGAAAATTGTACTTAGCTATATAAATATTAGTTGCTAAATTGTATAGAATGAATATAGAAACTGCACAAAGTCTATTACTATTAAAGGATAAAGATAAGGCTACTTTGTGATATTTAGCACTAGCATTAATAAGAAGAAACTACTGTGATAATCTTTGAACATTTGTAAAGGGCAGGAAGCAGGCTTCAGATTCTGTGAAGAAACTTTAGTTTTTATGGTTTTAAAAGATGAAAATTTCAAGTGTTCAGTAACTAGAAATTCATATTTCCTACCTTAGAAAAATGAATCTTGTACAAATGAATTAAACATATCTTCTGAGTAACAAGACATTCTCATTTTCAGTCTATGGCTTGTAGTCTAGAAGACATTAATTTCATAACTTGACTAATGATAGTCAGATTTTGTGCAGCTCTGAAGCTTTATTTTCAAGTTTAGGGGCCAAAAGTCCATTTGGAGTAATAATTTTAAAAAACAGTCAAAGCACCTATATGTATCAGTAATTACTATAAGAAAAGTTTGCCAAGGTTTCACCTTGGAAAATGTTCAACACAATGAGGAAAACCCAAGAATCACTGTTACATGTTAGAGAACCATTTTAATGAACAATGACAGCCATACTGTCTTGGGAAAATATACTTGGCAAAATAGTACATTTCCCCTTCAAATAAAGATGTAGCCAAAAATATAGGCCTCAAGCAGTTTTTATATTTAAAGCAAGGGCAAGGCATTTTTTAAAGAAGAATACACAAATTCCTTCATTTAAGTACAATAAGAATTCCCAACTGAAAGAAAGAGGACAAGGGGGAAGTGACCAGATTTATAACTGGGTTGAATTACTTAATATGAGAACAGTAGGATACCTAGTTCCTCAGTACAGTTCACTGCACTGAATATACATGTTAAACAGTTCACAAGCCTACTTTAACTAAAAATTTCCCTGAAGAACTCTTAGGCCACACATACAAAGGCCATGTGTCAAGGAAGGATGGCCAGGGCCATGGGATTTGGGGATGACACTGGTCAAATACTGAAATTTGGATTTTTATAGGCCAGGAGCAGCTGATTGGCATTGCTGGGGACGGAGTCACACAGCACAGTGTTTCTTATGTTTGGAAGAGAAGTGTACTACTGAGGATAGTTCAGAGTGGAGGACAGTTTCCTGCTTAGGGCAGGACCAGTGGGCTGACCTGATCCTATAAGGCCATTCATGGGCAAAGTGAGCTCTCAGAGGTTTGTCTTCTTCTCATTTCCAAATCACAAATATCTTGTGCTTTCTGGACAAGCAATGAGCTCAAGCTTACTGCCACTCAAGTGATGAGCCCCAGTCCTAGTGGGTTCAATCACGTGACAGGCGTGTGTGTGAAAGTAGTCCTGGGGACTCATGCTTTGGAGGGCTGATTGGACAATATGAATTCTGAGATCCCATGTAATTTGTGATTTTATAAATTAAAGAGCTTATGAATATTTGACTTGAGAAGTGCTAATGAAGAACTCAAAGATCTCTTGACACAGAGGCAAATCTGCCAGATTCATATTGTGACTTGGTGGTGTCACCTTAACTAGATGATGTTTTTACAAAGGAATCAACAGCAGGGTGACAGCTAGCCCTTGGGGACAGGAAATATGCTTCTGAACCCTCTGGTCCAAATACTTTACATCTGGCAGCTGAGCAATGCATGTACACACCACATTACAATGTTATGAAAAAAATAGCCTATGCAAGCAGTTCATTTATCAAAACAAACTAGTTGTAAAAGTATGTAGTTGTAAAATACTAATTTCCTCAATATATGCCCCTCTTCTCCGAAAATGCTTAATGTTAAAAGCTCCTGGCAAATATTTTCAAAAGGGAAATACCAGGGGTTTTTATAGTTTTATAATGGAAGACATACTATTGGAAGAATGGCTCTTTTTTGAATAGCCCTCAAGGCCATGACCCACATGTTAAAGGCTGGGATGGCTCAGTGGTAGAGTGCTTGCTTTGCATGCACTGTGGCTCAAGTGATAGAGTGCTAGCCTTGAGCTGAAGAGCTAAAGGGCCCCATGGTCCACCAAAGAAAACCCCAAAATGTTTTATGTTCATAGGAACTAGCCATGCCCATACATAGGAGTAAATAAGTTGGGAATTAGTACCCAAGTCAAGTATGCCCCAGGGAAATCAGGATGGAAAAGCCTTTCATAAATGCAGTCTGACACTACACTGATTTACTTTTAAATAAAAATAATTTTAAAAAAGATCACCAAACTTTCATGTACTAGTAAATTTTACCAAGGCCTTGGGGTCAACTCAGCAAAGGCAATGTTTTTTTCCTCAAAACTTCAGAAATAAAAATCTAGAAAAGTCTGATTTCTTCTGTGAGAAATCATGAAAGTAAAAAAAAGAAAAAAAAGCTGCTCAGTAGGGATGCAATTGGGTTAGAAAAATGAGGAGAATGAAAAGTGGGTGGAAGCTGTGCTTTTCATCTGATTGTCTTGGGCTGATCTCAGTAGAGATGCGCCTATAACATTCTGCAGTGCTCTTGGCTGCCAAGGCATGTTATTGCAGTTGGACATTACATAGCAGGTTCAAACTGATGGAGAAAAAATATGCTGTTTACACCTTCTTCTTCTGGTAGGTTAACCTAGGTTTTCTTTCATCCAGGACACATCTTGTATGTCCCCAACTTGACCTCTACTGAGTATGGCAGTTGTCACATTTCCCCAACATCCTCAGACTCTGAAAATAACACTGTTTTCTCTGTCATCTTAACAGGCAGCTTCAGGTCAATTTTTGGATATATTAAAAAAAGACCATGTTGATGTCTAGGATTAAGATAACTATGTTTTTCTTTTTTCTTAATTCTAAATAATTTGTGTTAATTATTATATTTGCATACATATAAATTATAAATTATTTTTAGCTTGAAAGGATAAATACTTCAAAGGTCTTGCAAAGAAGGAATATATACTACTAAGTGAACATGTAATTTTAAAGGGTGAAGGCATTAACACTGAAAATACACAAAGGCAGGAAGTCCATTACCAAGTTCAAGATGAGAAGTAGAATGTATTTTACTTTTAGTATGTAAATTCCATACCTGATTTGACAAGCAAGGAAATATTAATGCTGCATTTTTAATATTTATATCTTATGAAAAAATTGATCCCCTTTAGTTATTAGATGTATGATGATTTGCTACATTCCCAAGGGTTACTGAGTTATTTCTGACGAAATTTACAACTCTGATTTCATAATGGAAGCCAGTAGGGAGTGGGATTAATTTCAAAGAAATCTGGTTTAAAAATGTGAAATTAAATATCTCAGGCATGAAAAATAGCATAGCAAATATGAAACAAACATGCAGGTAATCACCACCTAGCTTTATCAAATATTAATACTTTGCTGTATTTATTTTTGATTTCTCTAAAGAAATAGAGGTAGAATACATTCCTCAGTCCCATTTTCTTTTTTCTTTCCTCACAGAGGTAACTGCTGAATCTATTTTTATCATTCCAATTAGAAATCTTTAGTTTATGTGCATCTATCAAAAAATAATTTATAGTCTGAATCTACTTGTGTAAAAGCTTTATGCAAACAGTATCATGCTACAGTTATCTGTAAATACTTCTCAAGATTTATCTGTGCTACTATATATAGCTCTAAAGCGCTTATTTTACTCGTGTGTGGTTTCACTGTGTGAGGTATTGCAATTTATTTAACCATTCTCCTGACAATGAATAGTTAGTATTGGCATTCTCTATTATAAATTACTAGTGGGCAGTTCTATATTATTAATAATGCTGTCATTAATTCATTCTCTGCATAGTGGTTCCTTCGTCTGAACTTCAAGAATGCCAGAACACAGCTGCTCACCCTGGATGGTCTAGTGTCTCCACACAGAGTTCAATCCCTTGTTCCTCCACGTCTCCGTTCTCCTGTCTGACCATTATATCTCTTTTCTCTAACTGTTCCCTCTTCAGCTAGTGCCACTAGATGGGTGATCGCTTCATGGGACTCCCAGGCACCAGGCTTGTTCCCATCAAATCTACCCTGCTGACTGCAGATAGAATGTGTTTTAAACACCCAAATGGCCATGCTATCCTCCAGTGTCCTCATTCCATGTGTGTACCAGATTTGTTTTCTTCCAGTCAAGTTTTATGACACAGCAGTCCCCCTTCTGTTGGTAGGAAGAGTCAAGTCCCATGTTGTTTTGAGCCTCTGCTTGTGAGTGGAAATATCCCCTATTGTCCAAGGAACATTCCCACCCATTTCTATGTTCCTGATGCTTGCGACATTGCCCTGAACTATCCCTAATTCCCCTGCCTGAGTGCTACTTGTGGACAGGGCTTGGTTTTATTTGCTTTTATATTCTAATGGTCTAGCAAAGTGATTGGGAAGCAAGCCGACTCAGACACTGGATGAATGGAGGGAAAGTGGGAGAAAATGAGGGAGGGGGTAACAATGTTGGGCAAGAATTATATTATCATTTCTTTACTTATATAACTGTAACCCTTTTGTACATTACCTTTACCGTAAATAATAATAAATAATTTAATATTGCCTTAGAAAAGAGCCAGTCTACTTAAATTAAGTAGTTAGTCCTCCAGGAATAAGATGTTTGTTTGCTGATAATTATGTTGATATGCACAATGACTTGTATGAAGTGATCTCCACAATTACCTTCTGAATCCTTAAATTATAAGATGGATTCTTCATTAGTTGCTATTTCTCTCTCAACCATCACTTAAAATCCTCCAACTCCTTCACAACGGCACTATACAAGGGCAAAGTCTCGAATGTTTTTTGACATTTCCTTTAGGAGAAGGTCACCTTCTATACCTACCTGTAACAAGCTCCCTGACTTCGGCATCAACAGATTTTCTCAACAGTCGCAGCAAGGCAGGTATCCCACCAACATTCTTCATTGCTATTTTATTTTCATCTGTAGACTTGCCAAAAACTAGGTTTCGGAGGGCACCACAAGCATTCTTCTGAACTTCCAAAACTCTGTGGTCCAAAAGGTCAACCAGATGCTTGATTCCCCCTAGTCTATAAACCTACAATTAAGAAATGTGATTAATCAGTAGTCAAACCAAAGTCTCTCTTATGGAGAGATACTGGGAAGTGGGTAACTCCAGAACTTCTGATTGTTACTTTTTACTTTATGTAAAACATCTTTTGTAAATTTTAAGGCTATACTCTAAGAGGATGCTCTTTTCTTGGATTCATGACTTAAAAAATGATGGCAGGCAGCTGGGCACTGGTGACTTATGTCTCTAACCCTAGCTACTCAGGAGGCTCAGGATCATAGAATCAAGATTCAAAGCCAACCTAGTCTGAAAGACTATCTCCAATCAATCAGCAAAATGCCTGGCTGGAGATGTGACTCAAGTGGTAGATTTCCAGCTGTGAGCAAAGCTGAGAGTATGAGGCCTTGCTCAAGCCCTGACAGCAGCATAGAAACATTAGCGGTTCAGGGGCTAATGCACATTTCAGGCAGTGAAGTCTTATTAGCCCTCTGAACATACACTGGGAATTATATTTTCATTTCAAGAGAACAATGAGCCCACATGTACACATAATATCTGCAGGATCAGAGACCACACAGGTTATTTAGTTTTTAGAATTCATTGCCTAGGCAACTCTTTTTCTACTTTCATTAGTTTGTAATTTCATTAGTATATTATTTGACCTCTTCTGGACTTTACTCACTACATCTACTCCTGGGTCTGTAGCAATATGTCCATTACATATTAAATTGATAACAAATACTTGTACATGAGATTGTATATGCATGTTTGTGGAGGCTGAACTGTTAAGACTCTGGTTTATAGAATACCAGTCAATGACCAATAATTTAATGTATTTCTAAAATTGCCTAAATGCTTGTATCTCATGAAATAGATTAGCTCCCTAGTTCAGTAATGGAATATTTTTAATCTAGTAGACTTTTGACAAATATTTCTAAAATGAAGGTTGAATGCTTTTGCTTCATGCTTGCTAATGATGTGAACACATGATTTGACAAGGCTGAAAGCACTCTAAGAAATACACTCATTCTACTTTTTGCTTAGTTAAGAAGCAAAAGAACATTTGAAATAAAAATATCCCTTCAACAAGGCATCTGAAAATGGAACCAGGAAACTTGAGGATGGGTAGGGTTGGGGACAGCGGAAACATGGATCAAGATGGATTAAAACCCCTTCGTACAACTACTTAACAATAATAAAATAACTAAAAAAAAAAGCATCTGGTAATCCCCCCTTTTCCCCTTGGGGATGCTAGAGATTGAACCCTGGGACTCTTTAAGTAAACTCATCATTTGCCTTTGAGCTTCCTCCTAGTCCTGGGTAACTTTGTACACAGCAATTGCATGGCTGCCAGGTGAAAAGCACCATTCCCCAAGCCCTCCAGGCCCTGTGTCTGGTACCTCCATCTTCACTTTGTTGTCCCCAAAGCACAGGTGCTGCAAGTAGGCCGCTGCATTGGCCTGCACAGATGGGAACTGGTGCTGCAGCATGTGGATGACTTCAGGCAACTCAGGGTCACGCCAGGCAAACTCCCTACAAGGAGACATGGATTCAGCAAAGAAGGTGTGGTGGGAATATTACACAGCATGTTTGTCAGAGGAGGAAAAGGCTCAGTGGAGACAAAAACGGGACATTACAAAAATCCGAAAGTATATAAATATAAATAATTGTTTTCCCCTCATGAGCATATGCTAAGGCCCAGATGCTTATGAGCTTAAAGAAACCACTATGCACAGATGCACAGAAACAGAGCCAGGGAACAAAGGCAATTCTTAATACAGGTAACTTTTCCTCTCCCATGTTCCTCTTCCTGATTCTAATTTTATGTCCTTCTAGCCAAGTAAGAAATCGCAGGTGTGAGGCCCAGGTAAACAAGTACACTTTAGCTGACTGAGTGTGGTATCGTGCCAGAGAAGAGAAAGGGCTGGTGGGGAAGGTCAGAGCTGGCATCAATCTACTCATCACAAACACAGTTGGCATAGAGATTCTCAGGAAACTCAGCATTTATAGTTGTTTTTAACTGTAGAGACAATTATCAAAAGGAACACAATTATAAAAAAAAAAAGAGAAATGTTACCAGTAGTTCTATTCAGAGAAAAACACCATTGACATTCCCCCGTCTTTTCTTTATATGCATGTAAAGTATCTTATACCCCCACATGAGTACAAGATACTTTCTTCAAGAAACTGGATTATCATTAAATAGTATTTGCTACGTGAGTACCTATTCTGAGTCCAGTACTACTTTAGTCCATGTATATTATATGTGCACATAGATGTGGACATTTATTCTTACACCAACTTATTGATTGCACGTGAAGGCACAGGGCAAACTAACTGGTCACAGAGCTAGTGAACATCTGGACTCAGGCTGTCTGTCTGCATGGTTTCTCCACTCAAATGCAATAGTAGTTTTTAACCTAAAGCATATACAATCGCACTATGTGTAGAGTCATACTTAGGCTTATTCAGGGAATATGTATGATCAGATGACATGAATTACAATTCTCATGTCAGATGACATCAGGAAAGATACTGTTTGGAATACTCCCCTGCTCCCAAGTTGTAAAGTTTATTTTCATCATAGTGTCTAGTGAATAGCACTGCTGCTTTGGTTCACAGCTTTGTCCCACCATTTCTGTGATTCCCCTTCCCTTCTGCCAATCAGATAAACTTATATATAAGACAAAGGTGGAGAAAGCAAAAGCAGTAACAACAGGACATAAACCAAAGGAGGAAGAAAGAAAGAAAAAAGAAATAACTGCAAACACTGCATTATAAAAACCGCATTTCCATTTCTTAGAGTTCATTTTGATATATTTCATTTTATATGGTCATATACACCTAGCTGTTGTGACCCTCTCCTAAGAATATCATAGACATATTCTAGTTCTTACAAATGAGGGAAACCATGCAATCTGTCTTTCTTTGGGTCTAGCTTGCTTCATTTAATAGAATTTTTTCCAAGTGTTTCATTTCCTTATGAATGGGGCAATGCCATTCTTTCAGATGGAAGCACAGAATTCCATTGTGTATGCATACCACATTTTCTTGATCCATTCATCTACTGAGAGGCATGTGGGTTGGTTCTATATCTTCACTATGGTAAATAATGTTGCAGTGAACACGGTTGTGCTGGTGGCATTTCTGCGGGCTGGCTTCTGGTCATTTGGGTAAATGTCCAGTTGGGTAAATGCCCAGGAATAGGATTGCTTGGTCACAGGGGAGCTCTATGTTTAGTCTTTTAAGGAACCTCCACACTGTTTTCCAGAGTGGTTGAACAAGTTTACATTCTTACTAACAGTGTAACAGTGTTCCCTTTGGGCCACATCTCTGCCAGCATCTGTTATTATTCGTTTTCTTGATAATGGCCATTCTAATAGGGGTGAGGTAGAATCTCAAAGTTTGTTTTCATTTGCATTTCTTTATGGCCAGAAATGTGAAATGTTTCATGTGTTTATTGGCCTTGGTCTTCTTTGGAGAAGTCTCTCTTTAAGTCTATAGCCCACTACTTCTATTGCCTAGTTTTTGTTCTGTGCTAGTCCTCAAGACTTTGGGAGCTATCTCCCTGAGCTTTTATGCTCAAAGTTAGTGCTTGACCACTTGAGTTACAGCTTTATTTCTGGCTTTTTGGTGGCTAATTGGAGATAAGAGTTTCACAGGCTTTATTCTTTGGGCTGGCTTCAAACTACAATCCTCAGATCTCAGCCTCCTGATTGGTTAGGATTATAGGCATGAGCTACTGGTGCCCAGCTTCTTGCTTCTTTTTTGGTCAGTCATGGAGCTTGAATTCTGGGCCTGGGCACTGTCCCTGAGCTTTTCAGTTCAAGGGGAGCTCTCTACCACTTAAGCTACAGCACAACCTCTGGCTTTTTCTGTGTATGTGGTGCTGAGGAATCGAAACCAGAGCCTCAAGCACATGAGGCAAGCACTCTACCATTGAGCCACCTTTCCAGCCCTCTGCATTGTTTTTAAAGCCCATAGTTTCACTTGGTCTGGGAAGGTTCCAGGTTTCTAGTCCACTGCAAAGGAACAAATCATTACATACCTGAACCCATATATATGTATCCACTACCAACTCTTTAACAAAAATTTACTGAGTCCTTACTATGCTACAAGTGCCACTGTAAAGACCGGAGGTAATTTTAAAAAATAAAAAATTAACAAAACGAAAGACAGGCTTTTATGTGCAGGTCTTGCATACTAAACTAAGAAATTTTTTTTGAGGGGGGTCATTGTTTTTATTTTTCTTGCAGTACTGGGGATTGAACACAGGTTTCATGCCTGAGTTACATTCATAGTGCTATCTCCTAAATTGAGATAGCACCTGGGTATTTAGCAACACTGGGCTAGGTTTGAACTCATGATCTTGCTCCTGCTTCCTGAGAAGCTGAGGTTACAAGCATGCACTATTATGCCAGACAAAAGTTTACTCTTCATAACAATAACAGGAGTTAGCACTTAGTGAGCTTACCTGCATCACATAGTGTATCATGAACTTTATATTTATTACGTCATTTGCCTTTACTACTGTATCAGTTGGTAAATACTATTATATGTCATTAAATACATGTAAAAATTTGAGAATAAAGTGGCAAAGGTTAGTAAAACCATGTTCTAATGTGTCTACTCACATAAAAATGGAAAGCTAATAGAGATTTTATATACTTAGAATTATGACATAGACATTTAAGGACATTCTCTATAAAAGTTGTCTTTTAGTGCAATGAAAATGTTAGCCATTTCTGATGAATATCTAAGCATATTATATAAATCTATGCTGTGATTAATAATAGAGTACAAAGAGTGTGATTTAGTCATTCCTATCCCTAGGTATCACAAGGGCCAGAGAAGGGTGGCTTCTGAGGCTGGGCAATTTGGCTTTGTTGGCATTAGTTCCAACCTTGACTAGACTTTGCCCACCCATTAACACTCATAAAGCTGACTAAAATGTGTTAAGAAACAGTTATCAGGATCTGGATAATAGGCTCCACAAGAATGAAATCCTCGCAGGGTACCTGGCATCCTAGTTACTCATGAGGCTGAGATCTGATGATCATAGTTCAAAGCCAGCAAAACCAGTAAAAAGCATGTAGTAAAGCTGTGGCTGAAGTGACAGAGTGCCTGCCTTAAGTGAAAAAGATAAGCAACGGCCAAATACCTTGAGTTCAACCTCTAGTACTGGCACAAAATAAATAAGTGAATAACATAAAATGGAAAGGAATAAAAAACGTGAGAGAAGGAAAATGCTCAAGGAATCCCAAATCTACTTGGCTTTCTACTTTGGGCCACTTTGGGGACTATAACACAGGAGGCTGAGACCAAGCAATACCTGATAACTAGGTGAGCTGTGGGAAAGGGAGGACAATGGAATTTAGTGATAGCAAAGCAGTTAGGCTTCAGCCTTCTTAGTGAGCAGACCTTGTAAGCACCTTAGAGATTTAGCTAAAACTTCACAAAGGCCCTGTTTGAAAAGGAAAGATCATACCATAGATTTGGTTGGTACGGTCTAATGCTGAACTAAATCTGAAATAGGCCACAGAACAAAACCAATATTGACAAGATTAAAAGCATCTGCCAGTAATTTAGCTATCTGCTAAAACAAAACTCTGCACAGAGTAGAAAACAGAATCCAGGTTCCCTATAATGTATTATCTGCAACAGTCAACATATAATAAAAAAAAAAAATCACTAGATAAAATGAGGGATTAAAAAAAGAAAAACCAGGTGGACCCATTACAACAATGAGATGTATAAGTCGTTATGTAGAAAAACAACTTTGGTGGGGGTGGGGAAGGATGGGGGGAGGAAATAGGGGGGAGAATGGGAAGGGATGGGAAAGGGAAACAGAGGAGGCAACAATGCTTGATAAGAAATGTACTCATTATCTTGCCTATGTAATTGTAACTCCTCTGTACGGTATTCTCACAATAAAAAAAAAAAAAAGAAAAAACAATAGAGATATTGAATAATCAAGGGAGATTGTTAAAATAAATATTATAAATGAGCTCAAAGACTTAAGGAAAAGATGTATATAAGATGTGAGTAGATGGGAACTTCAAAAGAGACAGAAACAATCAGGTTGGCTTTGTAAAAACAGGCCAAGAACTTGCAACAACAGATTGGAAGGTGCAGAAGAAAACCTGGTAAATTTTAGATAAATAAAAAATAAAAAATAAAAAAGAAACTCACTCTGAATACAGAGAAAAAAGTTTGTTTTTTTAAAGAATAGAAGTTGAGTAATTTGGGAGGTAATTAAAACTCTCCCTCCTTGCTTAATTTCTTTAAAAGACCATTATCAGCAAAAGTATTAACACCATTTTGGTTTAATAATGCACACAGATTTTAAATTCTTGATGATGACACCAAAGTCAAGGGAAAGGGGAAGGAGACATTCTGTCGAGTATTGTAGACTAGTCCCTGAACAGATCAGCCAACAAGATCATGGACATCCTTTGTCATCATCTCTACGCAGAGCAAATATTTTAGGTTTCTTTCTTAGAAAAATTCTTCATATTACTAATAAATTTGGCTCCTAAGTTAAAAGCTAAAAAAAAATTCACATATTTCCTTTTAACTCTAACACATCAGTAACCTTTTCATCTTATGGAGAATTTATCATATGGTATTAATGGCAAAGAAAAACTTACAAGTGAATAAAAACATTAAAGTTGCTATTTGCAAAACTGAGAAGTAGCAGTTGTCATGAGTATTCGAACTTCAAATTCACACAACTTTCAGTTTCAGCTAGACTAAATCTACCTATTACTATAAGATAATCATTTATTCATCTTATGAAATGCATTATTGCACAATCAAAGCTAAACATAACAGTTTTATGCATTAGACTATGAAATTACCATAGTATGAATAGCTGAAATACATTATCATACATGAAATTATTGTTTATGGTGAATTATATTAGAGGTCAGAGCTGAAGGCTTCAGGGACACATATTAAACTCAAAACTCGAATCACACTTCACTGCTTTTGCAGGTAACTATCTTTTTCTCTGCAAGTCAAGCTAAGATATGATATAAATTACCCACAATTCAAAATCTTTTTGGGAATTTCTGCATCTATTTGGGTAGCTTAATCTCTTTGACGAATTGAAAAAGTGAAATAATTTAAGAATATTTCTAACCATTATATATAGGAAGTGCTATTAGACAAATTCTTCATTTAAAAAACCCTTAATCTGGGTGCTGGTGGCTCACTTCCATAATCCTATGGATTCAGGAGGCTGATATTTGAGGATTGAAGCCCTGGAAGGAAAGTCCATGAGACTCTTATCTACAATTAACCACCAGAAAACCAGAAGTGGAACTGTGGCTTAAGTGGTAGAGCATTTGCCTTGAGCTGAAGAGCTTAGAGACAGTGCCCAGGCCAAGCCCCAAAACTAACAACAACAACAAAAAATCCTTAAAAATGGCAAATAACAACAAACCAAGAATAGATTTAAATTCAAGAATTTTAGGTATAGTAGGGAAATAGCCTTAGTGAAGTATAGATTTTGAAGTTACCCTATTTGAGTGGCCAAAACCTCATTTTAATTCATATTCTTTAGAATAAGTTGGTAGGTTGCTATAAATGAATTGATAATTATAACAATTTTCCAGTGAAACAACTATCTGTGGGCGAAGAGTGAATGAAATCTTGCTAATACATGCCTTAAAATAAAACTAAAGCTGCTTAAAACTTAGGAGCAATTTCACCCTTCCAGAAATGAAAATTCTCTTTTAGTTTTAAAGCATACTTATTCTCTGGCTATTTTAAACAGCTTTCATTAAAGATGAGGGGAGTTAAAAATATCAATCAAGTACTAAATAACTAATACTTACCTTAAAAGTTGTTGTCTAAGCCTCTTTAGTGAATGGTGCTGGCAAAATTGGTTAAACACCTGTAGAAAACTAAAGCTAGATCCTTATATATAACCTTGTACCAGAATTAACTCCAAATGGATCAAAGACCTTGAAGTCAAAGCAGACACCCTGAAAACATTACAGGAAGGAATAGGAGAAACTCTACGGCTCCTTTGCACAAGCCAAAATTTTCTTAATACAGACTCAGAAACACAACAAATCAAAGAAAGGTTGGACAAACAGCATTGCATGAAACTGCAGAGCTTCTGCATGGCAAAGGACATAGCTAGCAAGATCAATAGAAAACCTACAGATTGGGAGAAGATGTTCACTACCCATACAGCGGATAAGGGTCTCATATCTAAAATATACTTGGAACTCAAAAAATTAAATCCCCCAACAACAAATCCTGAAACAACTGCCCAATAAATAAGTGGGCTAAATACTTAAAGAGAAACTTCTCTGAAGAGGAAATAAGAATGGCCAATAGACACATGAAGAAATGCTCAACTTCTTTAGCCATAAAAAAATGCAAATCAAAACAACATTGAGATTCCACCTCACCCCAGTTAGAATGGCTATAATCAAGAACTCTAATAACAACAGATGCTGGAGGAGATGTGGACAGAAGGGAACCGTACTACATTGTTGGTGGGAGTATAAATTTGTTCAACCCCTTTGGAAAGCAGTATGGAAGTTCCTCAAAAGACTCCACATAGAGCTCCCCTATGACTCAGCAATCCTACTTTTGGGCATTTACCCAAATGATCACAAACAAGGCCATACTAAAGCTACCAGCACAACTATGTTTATCACAACATTATTCATCATAGCTAAGATATGGAACCAACCCAGATGCCCCTCAGTAGATGAATGGATCAAGAAAATGTGGTATTTATGTGTGTGTGTGTATATATGTATGTATGTATGTGTGTATATATATATATACATATATATATGCATACACACACGTGCGGGCGCGCGCACACACACACACACACACACACACACACACAAAATGGAATTCTATGCCTCCATCAGAAAGAATGACATTGCCCCATTTGTTAGGAAATTGAAAGGCTTGGAAAAAATTATATTAAGTGAAGTAAGCCAGGTCCAAAGAAACATAGGTCCTATGGTTTCCCTTATTTGCAAAAACTAGTATATGTCTGGGACAAGCAGAAAAGGTCGAAAGCTATGTACATATGACCATATAAGATGATGTTAAGTGAAATGAAACCCAAGATAGGGACACAAATGATTTTTGTCTTTCTTGCTATTGTTTTTAAAGTATTTCTAATTTGGGGAGGGGAAGGGACAAAACAAAATGCTTAAATAGGGATACAGGTTGAGCATTGTAATAATGTAATGTACAAGACACTATGTTGAAAACGAATTTTAACTTCAGGTGTGGGGTTCGGGGGTTGGGAGATGGGGAGGAGGGGGCATGGGGAAGGGAGGAGTTGGGGAGTTAGGAAGGGAAGGAATGGTATGGGAAAAACAAAGGAGGGGGTAACAATGATGGATAGGAAATGTACTCATTACCTTACTCATGTAACTAACTCCTCTTACAGTATCTTTACAATAAAAAAAAATATATTTAAAAAAAGTTGTTGTCTATGTGGCTCAATAGAATTTTAAAAAGACACAATAGTTTTTCTTTGCAAATATATTTTGTTTGTTTATGGGATATGAGAATTTTTTGAATGCCATTTTCTCCTAAATAATGGTTTTCAAATGACATTTTTAATTAAAAAAAATCTCTAAATAGCATTGAGCAAAATGATTTGAGATGTACACAACACTGATTATTTTCTGGCTTAGAATAATATGATTTTCTAGCTGGGCACCGATGGCTCACACCTGTAATCCTAGCTAGTGAGGAGGCTGAGATCTGAGGATCGAGGTTCAAAGCCAGCCTGGGCAGGAAACTCTATGAGACTCTTATCTCCAATAAGCCACTAGAAAACCAGAACTGGTGCTGTGGCTCAAGTGGTAGAGTGCTTGCTTTGAGCTGAAGAGCTGAGGGATAGCGCCCAAGCCCAGAGTTCAAGCCCCACGACTGACCAAAAAAAAAAGAATAATATGATATTCTGAAGCCATTGTCCAAGAAGTCAGTCAGGTTCAGGGAAGAAGGTAAAAGGCTCTTTCAAAGTCTTTTGTTTAATGCTTAGCAAGTAGCTATCTTGGGTTAATAGCCTGGGTAAAGTACTTAAGTGATGAATGCTTTAGATATTCCCACACATCTATGGTTCTCTAAGGTATAATTAAAGGATGGAAAGAATCAATCCATTTAAAAAAGGAATAATAAGAAAAGAAAAAGAAATTATCCTCAATAGCCAACACAGCAGGAATACAACTGGAAGTGGTAGAGATAAGGTGTAACTGATATCATAATAGATTTCACAGCTTAAAAAAGTCAGGATGGAAGAACCACAGTATTGTGAATGTGCCCAACTGGAACTTGCCTGGGGTCTTTCTGAATGCTGTCTATTGATGGAGATCTCGTGGTGCCGTCATCAGCGGGTGCTGAGTGGGGAAGCCTGCTGTAATTGCACTCTTGGACGCGGTATTGTACTGGCCTATAGGGCTCCGCGTAGGTAGCTGTTGTGTTCAGGGCATAATTATTTCTTTGGTATGTAAGAGTACTCCGTTGGCTGGATGTCCTTTGCAGATTTCCAATACCTAAGAAAGTCAACATTTTGCAAACCAAAGATTTGTATGTTCTCCACAAGATCACACTTTAAAATTTTTTCTTTTAATGTTAAAAAAGATTATAGTTTCTGGAAATTATATGCGTTGTTTACGTTTAGGTTTTATAAATCTTGCTCATTAGCCTTAGAAAAAGGTTCTTAAGTTTTTAGTAGCCTGCTAAATTTATTAGCAGGAAACAGCAAAAATAAACCTATTAATCTGTTAACATAAGTAATTTTTAATGTTTATTAATATGTTTATTAAGATTCAGTAACTTAAAACTCCAAATAAGTAATGAATCTAAGAAATAAATGATAAAATAGAAAATTTTGTAATTTTATTTCCATGAGATTTTTATTCAGATTCTTAAATTATATTTGTATTACCTTTAAGTAGTTGTACAAAGAAGTTATCATTTTATAAGTACAATGTATCTTTTTTTTTTTTTTTTGGGGCCTGAACTCTGGGCCTGGGCACTGTCCCTCAGCTCTTCAGCTCAAGGCTAGTGCTCTACCACTTGAGCCACAGCACCACTTCCGGCTTTTTTTTCTTTTTGCTTATGTGGTGCTGAGGAATCAAACCCAGGGCCTCATGTGTGCAAGGCAAGCACTCTACCACTGAGCCACCTTCCCAGCCCAGTATACTGTATCTTGATTGGACTTACAAATAACTGAAACTTTTGGCAATCAGAGGTCTTCACCTATACACCTATGGATCTTGATAACATTGGAAAATCTACCTAAGAAAAAAATACTGAAAGCTCAAGTTATTCTATCGCTATGCTCACATATTATTACATGATGTTATACACAAACTACTATTTACTGTACTTAATGTTTCTGTATCACTTATTATGGCATGCATCTTTCCACTGATTACATACATATTCTTCATGCAATTAAAAAGATTATCATCCGGGCATTGTGGTACACACCTGTAACTGAGACACTTGAGTTTGAGAATAGTGTGGCTATGGTAGGTAGTGGGTTCCAGACCAGCCTGAACTGCATTATCAAGACTTTGTCTTAAAAAAAATTATAACTTTAGCTATTTTTCAATCCTAGCAGAGAAATTCCTATTCACAGAACACAAGAATAAGTGAAGAGTTCTTCATTAACATTCAAAATTGGTGCTTTTTATAGAAGGACAATTACTCTGAGGAGTAAACTGTCAATTTCTAGTGAAGAACCAATACAAACAGTGTTCTCTCTGCTGGTGTTCTGGGAGGTATGTCCCCTTAAGGAGCACCTAATGGTGAGGGGTTATCGTTGCTACTTGGAGTTCTTCTGTGATGATTGCATGAATAAATCTGGAAGACTTTTATTTTTTTTTAATTTTTAATTTTTTTAAGAAAAGCTGACTCTGAGACTACATGTGACCATCCTGCATCAGTCTGGCAGCTCAGATCGTCTTCAGCTCCAGCTTTGGATTCATCAGCCACAGCCCAATGTCTGAGCTCCCTATTTTATGAATGCTTCTACTGCATTTTGTTCTGATTTAAATCCATCACAAGGGCTAGCTATTTTATATTATACATTTATGTATTCTGAGTAACTGTAACATCTAAAAACATGCAGCTTGGCTCCTTACATACTAAATTAAAGACAATGTCACTATATATGGATTTCCTTAATATTTGACTTAAGCAACAAAAATTACAATAAGTATTTCATTAGAAGTTTTCCTCTCTATATCTGTTTTGTTCCTAATCTGAAGAGAATCACATTTATAGCTTTACAAATTGATTCATAGATTAATAGTATAATCATTATGTTCATTAATTATACTAGAGTAAAACTTATCATTTATAAAATATTAAATGTACTTATCTTTTACTATTTATTGGTTGCTGTCACAACTGCTTATCCAACATCTAAATGGATAACATAGATTTCCAGGGCACCCAATCTCAATAAAATCCTTTGTCTTGTGCGTCAGTGAAAGTCAGAAAGCTGCTGCCCACCTGAGCCTGTGCGGTACAGTGCTGTCTGTGATCCCTGGAGCTCCACAGTTCCATGGTTTGGACTGCGGTACACTGGGCTGTAGTAGGTCCTCCCCTCATAGATAGGAGTGATGTGCAAGTCTGGAGACACAGCTGAACGAAGGTCTTGCCCAAGCTGACTGTGCTGACTAGCATAGGAACTCCGTAAGCCTAGAGGCAGCAAAATAAAATCATTAACAAGAAAGGAAATCATGGTGGGATCGAGAACCCTAAAGTTCTTAACCAACAGGACTATGCATGTGTTCAATATAAACACTCAAAGCAGAAAATTATATAATGGAGTGGTGTCAAGTGTGAAAAAGATTTCATGCCAGGAGCTGGTGTCTCATGCCTGGAATCCTAGCTACTTAGCAGGCTGAGACTTGAGGATCACAGTTTGAAGCTAGCCTTTGCAGAAAAGTCCATGAGACTCTTAACTCCAATAAACTACTCAGAAAAAGCTGGAAGTGGTACTGTGGCTCAAGTGGTAGAGCATTAGGCTTGAGCACAAGGAGGCTCAAGGACAGGGCCCAGTCCCTGAGTTCAAGCCCCAGGACTGGCAAAAAAAAAAAAAAAAGATTTCATATACTGTACAGTTCAAAAATAAAATGTTCTGTTGCTGTGAGAGAAAAGAAGATTCTCTAATAAAAATATTAAATCGTTTGATCTACTTGAAATTACTGCCAAATTGCAAAGTTATTCTAGGATGGTGACCTATTAATAATGATAATAATAATAAAAATGTTTTGGTCAAGGACAGTCTGTATACTGTATACTGCTGCTCCTGTGGAAATACACTGCCTGGTGATATAGTTGCCACCTTAGGTTTTGTAAATCGACTCTATGATGGGTGCACATAAAAAAAAAATAAGTCCAAACAAACAAGAAAACCCAGTAGATTGAAACTGGGTACTGGTGGTTCATGCCTGTAATCCTGGCTACTCAGGAGGTTCAGATCTGAAGGACTGAGGTTTGAAGTCAGCCTGGGAAAAAAAGTCCTTGAGAATCCTCTTCCAAGTAACCAACAAAAATCTGGGTTAAAGATATGGTTCCAGTAGTAGAATGCCAACCTTGAGCAAGAATGACTAGTAGTAGAGTGCTAGCTTTGAGCAAAAAAGCTGAGTAAGATTACAAAGCCCTAACTACACACCCTAAGCAAGAGCCCAAAAACATCAAACGAAAACAAAACAAAACTCATAGACTAAAATATTTCTAAGAATATGCCCTGCTTCTAAGTGTCTCAGCACTGCACCAACAGTGGTTTGTGCCTCTTTATTCCTGCCCTGCTGATTGCCCATCTCACCAAGTAGAAGACTATCGCTGAGAACAAAGGGCCTATAGTGTCCCACATCTATACATTCCTATGTCTCAGACCAAAGCCTATCTAAAATGCTAATTAGGAAAGTTGGATGCTTAAGAACTAGAAAAGTCTCTATTGAGTCACATATAATTTTTCTGGAAAATACCAGAAATCTTATGCTGTATTAAAAAATATGAGTGAATACTCATAATATTTATTATTAAGAAATGTTATTTTACTATTTTTTGCTTTCATTGTATTTATGCTTTCTTTTAAAAAAATCATTTAATTTTTGCTTTTATAAGAACTCACATGCCAGATATTCATTAACTTTCTAGCATAAACAAAAGTACCAAGTTAGAAATAACATTGACTTTCGATCATTTAATAGATTTCTGATTCAATTGCTACTGACAAATGTTCATATTCATCACTCATGATAACAAGTTTAAATACATTTTTAAAGAAGTGAATTAGGATGGGTGCTGGTGGCTCATGCCTGTAATCCTAGTGACTCAGGAGACTGAAATCTGAGGATCATGGTTCAAAGCCAGCCCAGGCAGCAAAGTCTGTGAGACTCTTATCTCGAATAAACTACTAGAAAACCATAAGTGGCGCTGTGGCTCAAGGTGAGTGCTCACCTTGAGCTAAAGAGCACAGGGACAGTGCCCAAGCCCAGAGTTCAAGCCCCACCACCGACAAAAAAAAAAAAAGTATCAAGTGAATTAGTATATATCTTATGGTGTTAAGAAGTTTGTGATTTGTCATTATTAGTAATTAAAATCTTGTTACTTGGTCAAAATATCAAAAATTACTTTCTAGATATAAGCAAGGGAAAGTATAACATACCAGAAATCAGTTAGGACATATTTTCTTTAAAAAGTTTGCTAAAACACACTAATAAAAAAAGATAGGATCAATCAAATCACAACTAAAAGCAATTTGGCTTGAATATATGTGATAATTACATGTTGCTTACTGAGAAGTGGCAATAAAGTTAAATACTTAAAGTTTCTAAAGTGAATGATTATTACCTATTCTGAGCAACAATGCAACATGGGAAAAATCTCAATAAAACATTGTGGGTTTTAGTAGTGGCTCCCTACTTGCTAAAATAAAGACTGCAGGTTCATAAAATCTAATAACTGGGCTATCACCTTGCCAAACTTTCTTGAGCCCAACAGGAAATGTGATTCAATCCCATTACAAAGCTACTTCCTCATGGCTAGAAGAAAGCATAGGCCAGTGTCTGTCACTATGTGCCCCACACTGGACACAGCCATGCCTCAAACACATGTGGCACAAGGCACCAGAACTTAGAAAGCTTTTCACAAGCACCAGGTTAAAGAGGGAGGTTAGATTGACAGAGATGGATTTTAAAGCTCTCAAAATAATTCTATAATTTGAACTCAAGACCCTATCTGTACTTGCTCTTTTGGCATTTGGCATTTTTCAAAAGTGTCTCATATTTACACGTACACAGCCAGGATGACAGATATACATCACTGGATCCAGCTCTTGATTGGGATGGGACCTCAAACCATGATCCTCCTGATTGGTAGTTCCCAGGTAACCAGGATTACAAGTGTGAACCATTGGCACCTGGCTTAGGATGGTAAATGAGCATGTGTGCGTGCACACACACACAAACACACATACATATGGTGCCAGTACTGAGACTTGAAATCAAGGCCCAGGCATTGTCTTTGAACTTTTTCACTAAAGGCCAGGGCTCTACCACTTGAGATATAATCCACTTTCAGCTTTTCTGTGGATAACTGGAGATTAAAGTCTCATGGACTTTCCTGCCTGGGTTAGCTCTAAACCATGATCCTCACATTTCAGCCTCTCGAGCAGCTAGGATTATAGGTATGAGACACTGGCCCCCAGCTGTTACTGTAAAATTATTTTGAGAACTTGGAAGAAAAGTACAGGCACTGCTTTTGTTAATTGTCTCATAGATCAGGCAGATGAATGTACCTATCCCTCAGTAACCTTATCAATATGTCATGTAACTGTAAAAACAGAGCCACACTCTTGACTCATCATGAGACTCTGAAGATCAGACACACTGGGCAGTCAAATGAGAACTGGATGCAGCTGAGCTCAGCTGAGCCCACAGGGATGTGGTGTAAGAGCAGAGCATTCTGCACCGACTCCCAAAATACCATACTTTTCCACTGCAAGCACCTGCCTGGATTCATCTTTAGAATCAATATAATTTGAAAAAATTTGTAAATCTTTATTTGGATTCTGGGGTAAAGGTATTCAAATTAGATTTTTATCCTTTAAAACGATAAAAGGTAACCAGCAGAGACCTCCTTGCTATAGAATTATTATATGTGACAGGCTGTAGTAGAATAAATAGTTTAGAATTGCAGTGATATGCAGCCATAGGATTATTATATATGACAGGCTGTAGTGAAAGAGTTTAGAATTATAGTGGTATATAGAACTTTCTTGATATTATTATAATTCTGAAGAACATAACAATGACCATCATTATGTTTGTTTTATGCTCCTGCTTTTCTTTAAAAACATATAGAGACCTGTAGATTAATATTCAAAAATTACCATAGCCACTTTAAAGTATAGAAAGCCCATCATAACTTACTAAGACTGAAATATAAGTAATTATGTTTTATGATTTGTATTAGAAATAATACAATTAATTTTTAATAACTTTAAAACTTTGTCCAAAAATGGAAAACACTGATATGCCATAATACTATTTATTCAACCAATCATTTCTATTTACAACCTCAAAACAGCCTATTAGTTCACCTGTCAAGGTCATACATTTCATAAAATAAAGACTGAAGGTTTTTTATACTTAAGCCATTAGAAATAATCACAAATTTACAAATTTATTTGTCAAATGCTGATTCTTAAAACGTTTCCATACTAGAATGAGTATTTTAGGTCATATATATTTTGTTTTTGTGGCAAGAAATACATTGTATTATTATTAAAATCATGATCACCAACTACTCAAGTCTCTGCATTTTTATGAATATTGATTAGGCACATTAATTAGCAATTAATCCTTCCAAATCAAAAGTGATTATAAATATGACAAGCTCCTTTTTTTCTGATTTTATTTTAGAATAAGAGAAAAGAATTCATAGTTAGGATTTACATTCCACATAAATGGTCAGGTAGGTCACCGGAAACAAAGATTCTTGAGAACCTAAAAAAAAAATTAGTGAGAAGCTAGGTCTAATATATATAATATACACACATATATATGTACATATATAAAAATTATATATACATGCATGTTTTTCCTTCTCTTGAAAAATAAATTCTAATCTCATCTGAATGTCAGAGAACAGAATTGACAAAGACTTGTCCTCTCAGGCTAAACATGGAGACAGGGATGTATGTGCATGCTGCCTTCCTTCACTAGGTTTCTGCTGCGCAGATTTAGAAGCGAGGATCTCAGACCCAAGTGGAAGAAGGAAGTCTTTGAGACTATTTGTCTTTCAAGGTTTCTGTGGGAAGCAGAATTTATAAATGATTTCTACAGGACTTTGTTGGAAACTTTTTAAAAGCATAACAGAAAATATTTGTGACAAATACATTCCACTTGATGGTGCAATTTTGAAAAAGAGGTAATTTTACTGCTAGGATTATCTTTGAGCTCAAATTCAAATTCAATATAAAGTTTTCACAAAAAAAATTACATTTAAAAATATGAAAGTAGCTTCACACTGCCTAGATACAAAGAAAAAGACATTAGTTTTTTTATCACACAAAATATGTAAAAATTATATAAATAACTTCAAAATCAAAAGTGACAAAATATTAAAAAATCTTGAGACATGTATTACAAAAAAATAATTTTTCTTAAGTATGATAGGTTTTCATAGATTATAAAATGAAAATATAGCTGAACCTGTGGCTCCAGGAAAAGGTAAAATAAAATAACTGATAAATATATGGGATCTTTACCCTTATTCATAACCCAGTAAAAACATTTAAAACAATGAGACATAGCGTCCTATCTACCAGATTGGCAAGGTTGAAAAACTTGGATGCCGTGAGGTGTAGGAAGAGATTTACACTCTAATTATAGGTGAAAATACAAGCTCACACAAACTTCTTGGAGGGCAATTTGATAAATTTCCCAATTTAAAAACATGCACATATTCTATGGCTAACGTAGTACCCATCAAATCAAATATGCAGGAGGAAGAATATATATTGTAACCTCTAACAGCTAAAAATGACACAAATCCTAAATGCCCATTGAGAGGAAGGAGATTAAAAAGTAGCACATACAGAAAAGGAACTCTGTACCTTTTTTAAAAGTATGAGTAGCTGGGTGCTGGTGGCTCACATCAGTAATCTTAGCTATTCAGGAGGCTGAGATCTGAGGATCACGGTTCAAAGCCAGCAGGGGCAGGAAAGTCTGTGAGACTTTTTTTTTTTTTTTTGTCGGTCGTGGGACTTGAACTCTGGGCCTGGGCGCTGTACCTCAGCTCTTCAGCTCAAGGCGAGCACTCTACCACTTGAGCTACAGCGCCACTTCCGGTTTTCTGGTGGTTTATTGGAGATAGGAGTCTCACGGTCTCTCCTGCCCGGGCTGGCTTTGAACCGCGATCCTCAGATCTCAGCCTCCTGAGTAGCTAGGATTACAGGCGTGAGCCACCAGCGCCCGGCTAGTCTGTGAGACTCTTATCTCCAATAAACCACCAGAAAACCAGAAGTGGCGCTGTGGCTCAAGTGGTAGAGCGCTAGCCTTGAGCTGAATTGCTGAGGGTCAGCGCCCAGGCCCAGTGTTCAAGCCTCCGACCAACAACAACAAAAATAGTATGAGTAGCTGGGTTCTAATGGCTCCTGCCTGCAATTCTAGCCCTCAGCCCAGGCAAGGAAATCAGGAAACTCTTATCTCCAATTAAGCACCAAAAAGCCAGAAATGGTGCTATAGTTCAAGTGGAAGACTACTAGACAAGCACCAAAGCTTAGGGACAGCATCCAGGCCTGGCCAAAAAAAAAAAGCACTTTCAGATTAACTAAGTGAAAACAATTAAGGCACCGAATATATCTGTAGTAGTATGTTTACCATCAGTGCAGAAGGAAACACAATACAGTGTGTGTATATCTGAACCAATGCATACTTCCTTTACCTGTGAATATTCTGAAAGGCATCCTTCTGGCTAACGGGGGTGGGTAAAGGAGAGCTGGAAATATCCATTAATCATTTTGGATTTTCATATATAGTCTTAAGTTTTATCATTCTGTCTATACTACTTTAAGGATAAATTTGTTTCAGAAAAAAGAACCAAGTTTCTATAGTTCGTGGGAAACCTTTCGCGAGCGCTACCTCCTGGATGTGCTCTCTCTCTGATTTAATGCAAATGACTTGTGAAGATACTTCACAAGATCTTTGTGCATTTCCCATGGGAATGTCAAAATCAGAGCAGGAGCGGGCAAGATTTATATTCTAGTCCACATCCCTTACGCATTTCTTTAGGAATTTTAAGTTAAATTAGGTTAATTATAAAACAGATATTCTCATACCACATTTTGAGCCTGGCTGGTGAGAAGCATTTTCCTGGTGGGGGGGTGGGGGGGTGGGGGAAGACATAAAAAAATCAATAGTCAGGGTTAAGGATGTAGCCGAGTGGTAGCGCGCATGCTCGCATGCACAGGGCTCTTTTCTGAAACAAATCCAGATGAAAATCAATAAGCAGGTGGAAACAAAACAGGTATTTGCAGAGCTACTGTTTGAGGGGGAAACTCTCTCCCGGAGTTCTGATGATGTAGGTGTACATAACTGCGCAGATACCCACGCTGGCACGGGGCGCGGAGGCGCCAGCACCCCAGGCCGTGGGTACCCGGGGACGCGCGGCTGGCCCTGGGCCGCGGCCCCCGGTACTCACCCGTCAGGCTGTCCGGCCGCGGAGGGACCATCCTCTCGTAAATCTCGTACGGCTGCTGTGCGAATTGCTCCGTGTCGTGAACAGTCCTCGGCAGGGAAGGACCCAGGTGCTGCGGCACGGCGGTCATGGCCGCGCGCTTCGGGGACGACGAGCCCACCTGGCCTTGGGACGGGGAAGCTACTCGAGTCTGTACATCCGTCAGAGTCAGCGGGGACCCCACCCTGGTGGTGGTTTGGTACTGAGGGGCTGGTCCGTTGGGGTTGGAGGTCTGCCGGGAGGTGACCGACCCGATCCTCCGCACGGCGGTCGGGGAGGAGGGTCTCTGTGAGTAGGGCGAGGCCGCCCGCGGAGCAGGCAGCGTGGTGGAGGAGTACGCACCGGGGTTCAGAGGCCGGGGGTCGGTCACTGATGGAGAGCCAAAGCCACTACCCATAGAAGTTCTCAGTGACCCCCGTGAAGGAGACACGCCTGTGCTGATAACATAAGAAGGAGACTGTGCTCTAGATGGAACTGAACTAACTCTTCTCATGGCCCGATTGGCTACTGATGGCTGATGAGAGGGGGGAGAAAAGAGAACGGGTTTATCCAGGGATTTGTGTCCATGGTCATTACAGGAAAAAAAAAAAAAGCACAAAGCTCTATAGCAAGTGAATTCACAATTTATTTTAGGCATCCAAGTTTCTTTTCTGCATCATGCTTCAGAGTTTGATCTTAAAGATTTTTCCCATTGTGTTTTTGAATCCTAAGATCCGTAAAATGAGGTCTGAAGACATTTAATATCTCTCCCCCCACTTTGTTCTTTATGTTTCTTACCCTTTGCCTAGGCATTTTTCACAGCACATAGAATGTTTTATTCCAAGGGCTACAAATAACTCATGAATGTGAAGGTCACTGGGTTATACTTTCTTCCCTGTAAGCCAAAGTTTGGCCATGATAGTACATTTTTGTAAAACAAAAAGTTTATTAAAAAATAGTCGAAATGTAGCCAGAAGTTTATTTATAAAGTCTTTATGGCTGGCCCTTATTAACAAAAGAAATTGGCCCTATTAACAAAAGAAAAAAAGTTCTTTCAGTGTGGAAAAAAATATGAATTTGCTTCACAGTGTGGTTGTCCAGGTGCCCTAGCCAAATGTGTCTATTCTTTTAAGTAATTTTTAAAAACCTTTTCTGGTCTTTGAGGTCTTAAATATACCTGGTAGATTTTAAGAAATACAACAAAGGCACCCCAAAATCTGGTCAAATAGGAGAGATGCTTTGAATCTACTGATTCTTGGCCTAGCCCACTGCAAAAGACTAGAAAGGAAAGCAAATGTCCCTGCCATGGAATATTCTACTCTGAATCTAGAGACCTTCACAAACATGGCAGGTTTCAGATACTTTTCTTGATGCTGGATGAAAATGAAGAATGGATAGTTGGAGAAAGAAGTGGCAAGGGAACAGGAAATGAAATTACACAATAGGGCTCTGGATGAGACTTGGATCAGGCTAACTATATTGATGATGCAATTTTTAGACCCTGGTGCCATCAACTCCCACCCACTTTTAGTTGTGGGATACAGAAGCAGGGATAAGGTATGGATGTTACACATCCTTAGCTATTATTGTAAGAGGATATTTGCTTCCAGGTGTCACAATCAAATGGCTGGCTGAAATATCTCTTTTGAGGCCTGAAGTGTACTTGGGGGCAGTAATAGCTATGAAGAAGAGGGGATATGAGAAAGGAAGTGGATGGTAAATAGACAATAGACAGGGTTGAAAATCTGCTGACCAGACTACATGGAAATTAAGCAATATAACTGCAATATACTTTTTAACCTTTAGGCATAAAACAATCTTAATGTAAATTTCTTTAAAAGAGATGTAAGCTGGGTGTTAGTGGCTCACACATGTAATAGCTGAGAACTGAAGATCTCAGATAAAAGCCAGCTTGGACAGGAAAGTCCATGAGATTATGATCTCCAGTAAATCACCAAAAAAGGCCAGATGTGTGGCAGTGGCTCAAGTCATAAGCATTAACCTTAAACAAAAAAGCTCAGGTCAGTGCCCATGCCATGAGTTCAAGCCCTAGGACCAGCAATAATTATGAAAAAATGTAATTGTTTTAGACTTGTAAAAATAGAAATCTACTGAAGTGGGTGAATATTTGAAGTGATTTAACTCACCTATAAAAGCAAAGGAGTATGTGAACAATTTGAATTTGAGGAGTGGAACCTGAAGCAGCTTGCTATGAGTACAAGAGTTTCCATTGTAGATTAAAAGTCATGCTCTTATCTTATATAAATCAGTAAGCACAAGAGCCATCATTGCATTACGCTACTCCTTTGGTACTGGTAACTCTGGCCTATTTCTGTTTTATACCTGGATTTCATTATGAGGAACAGTGTCTACTGAACTTCTGATTATATGATGTTTTTGTTTAGTTCAAAAAAACAAACAAAAAAAAAACAAAAAAAAAACCCTTCCAACTACTTGAAGAGAGATCTCCACACTGTTTACTATATTACACAAGACTCCTGCTGCTTGTTTTACTCCAGGCTGATCCTGGTGGAGTGAGGTGAATAAATTTGCCACAAGGAAGGAGCTAAGGAGCTTGTGTAAATATATCTGCAATTTTACTTTTTTTGCCTATCAGTTAGAAAGCCCTAACTCAATAGAATGGAGTTCTATATAACCTATAATGGAGTTCTAGTACAACAAAGAAGTGTGCTTTCAGAGAAGAACTCCAGAGATGAAGATCAAAACTAGACTGGGTGAGAATGAATGGATCTTTATGGAGGTTTAGAAAGAGTGCTCTGCCCCCTAGAAATAGAATATATAGCTGCTGTATTTTTAGGAATTCATAACCTCTCGGAAATGATAACATTGTATTCAGTTCTGTATTCCCTCTGGACTTGACAGGTCAAACTTGTTGCTTCTGAAAAAAATTACTATGTCTAGAAACATATCAGAATGAATTGGTATAATTAATTCTATTTAGTAATAGCAGTAAATTAATTGAAGCAAACATATTTTTAGGTATATGCAAAAAAAACCCTTAACACTAACTCAAATAGTGTAAAAGAATTTTTGTTACTTTAAAGTAACAAAATGTACACATTAGGTTTTTTTTCAAAACTGTACACATTTTACTCAAAACTGTACACATTAGGTTTTCTTTTAATAGAGAATACCTATAATAAATAGTATACAAGAGAGTAATTCTTTGCAAAGATCTTGATTGTGCTTGGCTTACCTGAACTAGTGTTTGTCCTTCAGCTCTTGAATTCCTCACCAAATGATTATTAGTTGATCCTATGAATGAATGCTGTTGCCTATTATCTGCCTTGCTCAGAGTTTGGTTGTTGTGGAAACTCCCTGCTTCTTGGTATCCACTGTCAGAATATGAATTCATCTGAGTTGAGCTTCTTGAATTACCCAATGACCCTGCAGGAATGAAACCAGCAGGAATATCTTTATTATAGACTTTTAAAGTTTACTTTCAAAAAGAAAATATTAAAAGCAAATCTAGTTCTTAAAACATAATACAACAGACCCTCACTTTCATGAAGAGATGTCTGTTCTGGTGAATAGAGGGTCCCTTGTTCTGGCTCTGTCCTGATGAGATAGTTGTTGGGATGGCCAGCGTCAGAAACTCTAGGTTTGCTTATACCAGTATTTGGCACATCTGTGAGAATAAATTGAATCAGCTAAATATGACAATATTACATAAGAACTTATTATAAGAGGCTAAGGTATCTATCTGTAATGTTTTCCAGTCTACGTTAATATATTTTCACAATAGAAACATACTTCTCTTGATTCTTAGCTATGTGTGTTCCACATACCCTATTATTAGTATTTTTGGCTGAGTTTCATAAATGTTCTTTTTCTTGAGAAAAGATCTAAATTAACTTGTGAAACATAGTAAATCAAAATCTGAAAACTGATTGCTGGCCCCCTTAGAAAACTCATTTCCACCCAACTTCCTCCAGGAAGATTAAGATTGAGAACAATCACTTAAAATATAGTTTTCTATATCTCAAACTTAAAATATGAACACAGAGTTCATGATACTGGGCTTAGTGATGAACCCTTGGAGGGTAAAGCTATCTTTTTATGTTATGCTCCTTATTGTCTGCAATCAAAGAAGCTCTACATAATGTTCAAAGTTGTTGGAATAGAAACATACAGCCTCTTAACCATCTAAGTTATTCCTTTGTTGTTTCCAGATGATATAAAGTTAAAGGCGAGTGTAGTTTTCCCTAACCAGACCTGCTTTCCATTTTCCTTTTTTATTTTCAATTGGACCATTTGCCATCTTGAGCTTGGAGGAGGAGGGGAAGTACCCCAAACCAATTTGTCTCCTGCTCCATTGCAATGTGTGTGTTATATGCTATGATTTAGGTAGTGTAGGGCATGGTGCATTTTTCCTACTGAAGAATGATCTTTCATCTAATATCTAAAACATTACCTCATGTTCTGATTATCCCCACTACAAGTCTTTTCTCAGAGTTACCTTTTAAAGGACTAACGAACTTCTTTCTAAGAGTGCTGTTTCACTCTCACTTCAAAGATTTAACCAATTCTCTGTCAACATTCTGAGTTCAACACACAACCCTAAGAATGCCAATGTCTTCTTTGACTGCTTGTTTTATTGGGCTCTATTACATGCCAGGCTTAGGGATAAGCAGGTAGGTGTGTGTGTGTGTGGGGGGGGGGGGGAGGTTAAGGGGAAAGAGATCTGAAATACGAGAATAAGAAAACTTTTCTTTTCTTTTTTTTTGGTCCGGTAGTGGGGCCTGAACTCTGGGCCTGGGCACTGTCCCTCAGCTCTTCAACTCAAGGCTAGCGCTCTACCACTTGAGCCACAGCGCCACTTCCGGCTTTTTTCTTTTTGCTTATGTGGTGCTGAGGAATCGAACCCAGGGCCTCAGGCATGCAAGGCAAGCGCTCTACCACTGAGCCACCTTCCCAGCCCATAAGAAAACTTTTCTAGAGGAGTTAACTTCTACATGAAATTCATTTACTACAAGAAGCCAGGTTTTCTTTTTTTTTTCTTTTTTTAAAATCACCCCTCTCTATTACAATAAAAGCTCAAGAAGGGCAGACTTGTCTCGATTGTTTGGGGTTGTATCCTAAGCATCTAGGCTGATGCACTGTACTCAGGAAACATTGGTTGAACACACATTCCCAGGAATAGCAGCAGCTTCCCTTTATCGGGTCCACATTCATGCCTAGTACTGTACTGTAGCTTTATTGTGTCCAATGAAGTTGGGCTATGGGAGCAAAGTAAAAATTAAGAATTGCTGCTCAAGTTAAAGGTGGATATGAGGTTTAGAGGAGAACTAGGAAATAATCTTGAACCTTTATCTTGATGTCAAATTCAATCTAAGGTTTTGTTTCCTAGCCTCTAGAAAGACAGGCTTAGTGCAGCTTCAACAACCTGTCTCCTGATACATCATTTGACAAGAATACTTGGAGTTCTGTGATGGTTCTGAATTTTCAAGTCTGGAATTTTAATAAAGATAAGTTTTTCTGGCACATTCTGAAACATGATCTTAGTCACTGCCAGCCTGTTAATACTGGAAAGTGAGCTGTTTGAGTTGTAAATCTATTTCGAGTTTCTAAAGTTTTGAACAGTCTTATACACCAGTGCTGGAGGGAGTTTTGTTCAGGATTAGATAGAATACAGAGTGTGCTAGGGTAGAAGAGTTGCAGGGATCAGCGATGGCCACAGTGGCTGCAGAGGAATTGGGGGTTGCAGGCCAGTACATAAGCCCATCCTGTTCCACCTAGGAATGGAATCCCACTCCCCCCAGCCCCCAAAAAGCAAAGGAAAAAGGAAGGAATTATAGGAAAAAGTCACTCTCATCTTAAGTAGTCACAAACTTGGAAAAATATTGTGTTTAAAAGAAAAAGATGTCCAAATAGGTCTTAGTTTCAATTTCAATAAAAGATAAAACCTGGGACACTAATACATCACGGAGTTGACTTGAAAACACCAAGTGCTGTGCAGTATGGGCACTGGAAAACTATCACCATGGAAACAAAAAGCCACTGGAAGTATGAATATGCGTCCTCAAAAAAAAAGAAAAAGAAAAAAAGAAAAACCGAAACCTTAGTATTCAGAGCTATTATTTTAAATAGGAAGAGACATCCTAAAAATCTCTGCATGGGCAACTGCATCCTTCCAACCAATGGAATATTTTTCTAGAACTATGCTAGAAAATCTAGAAATTATGCTTGTTTTAACTCTTCTTTATAAGGGAGTATTTAAAACAAACTCAGAGCAGGCACAAATTATGAGATGTGTGGTTCCACACTTCTCACTCTAATAATAAGACCTAACAGAATTAGTACCTAGGAAAATAGAAAAATAAACAATATTATCCTAAAAACAATACTACCCTACACCCTTCACATATTATCCTGACTCTAATAGTTTTAAATGTAATGTCCCGGGAGCCAGAATACAGAAAAGAACTATGAGATGGTTGCTTAAACACTAAACACACATTCACCCACTCACACAGACATACATGCACGCATGCACACACGCACACCTGTGTTCACAGAATTCAATGTGGCAATCTAAGGGGTAGGCTAAGAGATTAGAGGTTTTAAGTATATGTAAGTTAGACCTGCAAAAACAAAATCAAAAACAAAAACAAAAAAAGATGAAAGATTTGTTTAATATGAATTAGCAACCAACCAATTTCATCCTATAAATAAGGTCTTCAGTCATTTTTCTAATTCTACAGTAGAGTACCACAATCATGAGTACCCATAGAGACAAAAAGATCCTCAAATCTCTTCAGTATCATCAAAAGAAAAGTGGTTTTCCAAGTAGTTTTGCTCTTCTCTGAAAACTTGTAAGTCACAAATTATATATTCACATGTACTAATATGTGTACATGTACATAAAATATTACTGATTGTAGAACAGTAGGGGTCGCATTGGTCAGTTATGTACTACTAATATAATATCCCTTTAAGATGAATGTCTTTTACAACATCTCATATGGAATGGAGGGGGACAGTAGCCAAATTCACCAGATACAGAATGAGATTAACCATGTCCAATGCTGTAACTTAGAACTAAACTGTTGGCAAATGATTTAGTTTGATCAGGACAAAAAAGTAAGAGGCATCATATAAGCAAAAATGTCAACCAGTATGTGAATGCTACTTCCTTTAATATACTGAGAATACTTAAAAACAAAATCACAAACATGTATTCTGAGACACCAAAAATATACTATGGGGCATTTTGAAACATTCATTAGTATCTTCCAAGAAAACGTGAATCTAAATAATAGAATTTGAACACAGTTCAAAATTGGATAAATCTCCATCTGTGTCTAAGACTAGGGGATTACTGGAATCCTGGTCCTCTTGCCTGTCTCATGTTATCTGGATGTTCTAGTTTCCTATAGATGATTAATTTGAAAAACTAGAAGACTCTGTGTAAGAAAAAAATTAGGTCAGAGAAAAGAAAGGTATAGGATATAAAAATCTAGTATATTAACCACCCCAACAAACTCTTAATAAAATATGGAATATAATGTGAATTATTATCTTTAACATGATGTATATCCTTAAATATACAAAATGTGCATGAAATATGCTCAGTACATCTTTACAAAGACTTTGATATTATTAAAATGGCTCTGCTTTGTTAGTCTTTGTGTCTTGCTGTTTATATTGTATGCAGTGAGAAGGTCTGTACTATGTAAAATCACCATGGAAACAGGAACCTGGAGATCAGTAAGGAAATTTTTAGTATATATACAACCTTGTAACTGGTATTTCAAAGGCCAGCACAGCACAATGTGAGTTCAAGCTGGCTTCTCCTTGTTTGTGCCTATTCTGAGTTGCTATGGTGCTTAGGATTTGCTCTTATATTAAGATATGATGAAGGTTTTGGCAGGACTCTTGTGGTAATAGCAGGTACTATTAAGGCAGATGAGTCTTTGACAGTTTCTTTCAACTCTTCAGCTTACGAGTTTAAGGTTACATTATTGTAAGTAGAGAAGGAATGATTGGTGAGAACTTACTGTTTGACCACTAGACCCAGCTTGAGCACAAGCTAGGAAGGAATCTATTTTCCACAGAGGTAACGCAATATTCTAGACTTACTTATGTTTAAGAGGTAAAGCTCTAGGAGAAACTGTGGAGGAGGACCTGGGAGACAGCATTCCAAAGACTCTATTCTTTACTACCTGCTATAATACCCCAGTGTATTTCTATTGCTGCTTAGTGAAATATCTAAGGGAATGAGGTGATCTAGAAATTCTATTTTAGAGTGAAAGTGCAAATAGGGTGAGGAAAACACAAAACATAAAAACATTCTTGAGTGCACAGGAGAAAAATGGATGCTGACTGTTAAAGAATAAGGCAGACACTTGGAGCTCATTAACTCAAACATAAATGTCTTTATCTCTGAAAAGCTAAATTTTAATAATAGAATTTCTTGAAATTATTTTGAATCTAGTTTTCTTGAATAAATCTAGGTTTTTGGATGTTATATTTATATTCTTATAATATTAATGTTGACTCTACAATATTATAATACACATCCAGAAAATATTAGCCTTGAAAAGTATAAAACACTAATGAAGTACCTTCTAGTTCACTTTGTTTTTCAATGACAGTAGTAATATTTTATTTTTTAGATTTTAAAAT